CAAAATGAATACATCTAAATCACTGAGATCCTGAGATGTAAAACACATCAACATTTCTTTATGTCGATGAACATGAAGGATGGCCCTTTCCTGATAAAATGATAAGCTAGCATAGCCAGCAAAGACTCTCCCAGCATTTACTGAAAACCTAAAGCCTTGGCAGATCTGATAATACACCAAGGAGGAACAAAGTTAGAATTCAGTGAAAGTATGGACTAAGAGTGTGAAGCAGAACTCTTGGGCCCCCTGAGCCCTGGCATTTGCCAGCCCTTGGTGTCAGGCTTTGGTCTGAAGACCCCCATGGAATCTGAGGAAGAGGATGGCCACTACTTCCTTTTGCATGTCAGGAGCGGTAGGGCACTGTTTCTACACCAAGGGTACTGTGCCCCCAATTTCTCTGTGTTAAGAATGAGCGAGGAGCTGAGTGTGTTGGAAACATGCCTGGAATCCCAGCACTCACAAGGGTTTGAGACTGTCTCAGATCCAAACAAATGAAAACAAAAATAATGAATGAAGAAAAAACGTGCTCTGCTCACCCCCTCAGGGGACTTGGAGTGAAGCTGCCTCCATGGGACAGAGCAGAGCCTTGACAGTTGGTGAGAGGATGTCCTCGGGTGCGTTAGCTCCATGTAGGATGCTGTCTTGGGACACAAAGCCAGGGAAGGGTGCTTTCTGAGGTCCTTCAGCTGTAGTCCCTGTGGACTTTGAAGGACGAGCTCTCAATGAATTCTTTTCCTCTCTTATTGCCTTCTGCCATTTTGAAAGTAAAAACACTTCATTTAACTTGTCTGGGTACATGTTCTTTCCTTCTTGGCCCAGATATGTTGCTAACTCTTGCACACTGAACTTCCTTCATAGTCCACTGCCTTGGAGAGCAGTGTGGGGCTTCTTAGAGGCCTGGGAGGTAGGTACTTGGCCAGGGAGCAAAAACATGTGCTTCAAGGTAGACTCCTCAGAACACTGTCAGTCTGGATGTGATCCACCTACATTCAAGAATGAGAGCAAACCGGAGAACTGTCCTGCACAGACCAGCTCAAGATAAAACAACAACAACAAAATAGTGAAGGAAATTTTAAAACAAAAGCACTTTGTACAAGAACCAGAAGAACATTTAAAACTACCGTCAGCTATCACAATAGGAAAGCATGTACTGTAAACCACACTTACTGTGCTTCAGCTGTGTTAGACCTGATGATGAAACCCTTCTGACTGGAATTGGCACTGAGACAAAGTAGCCTACGGCCATGATGCAATATTGTACTGAAACCTACCTCTGTGCGGTAAGGCAGAAGGAGGAAACCAGGGATAAGGATTGGGAAGAAGGAAAGTAAGCATTCTTTATAGAAAGAAATAAAAGAGCCCTCAGGTTAAAAACAAAAGAACAAAAAATCAAGAGACAGCTTGCGAGGCTCCTAGGTACACTATCAATTACACAATGTATCACATGGTGGTGATGTGTTACCCAGCACTGTGACCCAAATGAATGTCAGTGAACCGCACACTCTCAAGGGGTCAGAATGATCACTTTGTAGTATTTTGCCATGATAACAAAGGAAATGCAAATCTACGTGCTAGCAAAGGACAATGAATAATATAAAATATAATTATAATAGTATCAAAAATATCACACACTTAAAATTAATAGACCATGAGTGAACATACATATTCTATAATACGTATAACCTAAAGCATTTCATAACCACTGAGTATGCATTGCAGAAAACACTTAAAGGAATATTTTGTTTTTCATATTTAGGTAAGATCCTTCAGGAATTTAGTTTCATTCAAAGTATCACAAGTTGTTTTTGTCCAAGAGGGCTATGGACAGTTTAAGATTTGTTGAGTGGGAAGAAAAAGTTTTAGATGCTAATAATTCAAAATATATTGCATCTATGAGTAATGATGGCAAAACAAAACCCACTGAACTCTGAAGTAAGAAGGTCGTGTGGAGATGGGGAAAGTGAGGGTAGGTGAGGGGTCAATCTGCATGTGTATTTGAAGTGTCAAGGTGAAATTCCCTTTAAGGATTAAAATACACTTGACAAAAATGAGTGACAGGAATGTAAAATGGCAGTAGTGAGAGGGAGAGGGTAAACAGAGAGGCGGAAGGAGGGTGAGTGGTCCACACACTGCAGATATGTGAAGAGGGAGATGGTTGAGATTGGTTTAGGAAGTGGAGAATGATGACGAGATAGATGGTGGACAGGTGAGTCTGACCAAGGTACATCATATGCATGTATGGGCATGCCAGAAGGAGACCCCATTCTACAACTAATGTATGTTAACAAACATATGGTAGAAAGAAAGTGGAATGCAGAGATCATCTACTATTTCTGCATCTGGACCTGTCTGACCCTTTATGTCTAATTGTATTTGTTTAAGAAATTACATATACTAACATTTAATGAACCTAATATTAGCAATTGTATCTTCTTGATGGATTATTCACATTATGTATTTGCAGTGAACCCATTTATCTCTTCAACTAATTTTGGGTTATCATTGTCATATGAGTATACTGACTCCAGGTTCTTTTCAGATTCCATTTGCTTGAAGCATCGACTTCTATCCCTCCACTCTGAGGCTATGTGTGAAAATGAGTTTCTAGTTTATTGAATCTAGTCATCTAGTCTGTGTCTTTTATTTGGATAGTGAAGATCATTTATATCTAGAGTAATTATTAAAATGTATTTAGCAAAATGTGTGCAGCGATTTCTCCCTTCTTTATCTTAAGAGGTTTTTATGGTTTAATGGGTTAATGCCAGATTCTTTCCTAATTCTTATGATTATTCTTCTAATGAGATTTATTCTTTCCTAAGATCTTGTGGTTGTGCATATCTTTCTTCCTCTTCTGTGCATGCACAGATGCAGTATTTTAATCAGATTAAATGTGAAAGACAAAAACCACAAAGCCATACAGCATAAGGGACTACTTTATGACTCAGATTGGGTTCCTAACATTAACTATCAAAGCATTGCCATTTTGATTAGTTAAAAATTAAGGTCTTCTCTTCCTTAAGAGACACTGTGATAGGAATGAGAGGTGAGCCCAAACTTTCATATTCCTGGTTCCACTTCAACTTTATGACCTGGGAGGATTGTTATCTTATTGAATCTCAGTCATTTAGAAACAATGATACTGACTTTAAATTGCTATTTTGATGATTACTTATAATTGATGGTGTCATAGACTCAACAAATGCCATCATTTTTCATAAGTTGTGCATCTTATTTCAAACTACAATGTAATGGGCCCCCAAGAGTTCACCAGATGTTGCCCACCAGTCACAACAGATAAAACCCTGCTCCGGGTGAATGTCCCTACATTCACTCTGTTTCCACAATTTAAGAAACAGACCACTCTAGTTAAGAGAGGTATGAGGCCCTTTTCCACATTCTACAGTAGTACTAGTATCTGTGGTCCTTCTGCTTTACAAGGCAACAGGCCCCCCAATCCCAAACCCATGTTTAAAGTTGATGGTCAGTAACTTTTCCAATAGGGATGCTGCCCAAAGGTATTGGCCCTCTCAGGAGATAATGAGCACTAGGAAGTTTCTCAGTGATTCTGGGCCATCTCAAACAACGTGCACACAGACATTCAATGTGTGGCAATGAGACTGAAAAAGAAAGGTTCTGCAAAAAATACTAATAAAAAGAATTGCACTAAGATGTCTTGTATCTTCAAGCATAATCACAGTAATGACAGTTTTCATGGAGTCTGAAAACCAGTTCCAAACTGTGAGCAGTTATTTGACTTTACATCCACACAATTCCCCACAGATGAGTCAGGTTCTTCACATGGGGTGAGGATGCTGGGAGTTAATTAGGACTGCGACTGTTCCCTGATATCATGAACCTGCTATCAGTAATGGAAATCACGAACGTGAGAAATATCAATGGATTTCATGGTTCAAAACAGCAACTCAGTTTTCAGTAGGAATTTAATTCCCTATCTGTTGTTCAAAGAATCCCACGGTTTAAAAATCTCTACAAAACTTAAACAGTTGTCTTTGAATACAGAAATACCCCAGTGCCTTATTATGCAATATATATATAAGTATAAATATATATATATATATATATATATATATATCTTGTGCAGGTATTTTTATAGGTGATAATTCTAGTGTATACACTTGTAGCACAAAGATAGCTTGCCTCAGTCCAAAGAAGACTGCACCATCTGGATGGTGAGAGTCTGGAAATTATAAGAAATAGAAAGACGGTTGAAGAAAATGAGATCTCTTGGTAGAGAAGAAATAAGAAACACAAAGACTGGGGCTGCTATGTTTTGGGGAGTCCGGTTGTGGTCTGGAGTGTTCCAGAAGCCAGAACGAGGGTCGCATGAATCAGACAGAGGGAGAGAAAAGTTTCTGACATGGGGAAATACCAAGAAGGGGTGCATATTCTCTTGGGCATGGGGAGGGGGGGCTAGGAAGTGAAGGTGAGGAGGTTTTCAGGAGGACAGTGAGGGGGCTTTTATGCCTATGGATCTGTGAGAGTTGAGGCATCTAGGCTGCCTATGGATCCCTAGAGGAAGGTGTGTGAGTGAAGGGTGGGCGGGCACCAGCAGCATTGTCTCAGCAGGCCACGGCTACATGGCCTTCACATTGTAGTTTTAGACCTTCAGGCCTAGACATTTTTCCTCTGTCAGGCTCCTCTCTGTAGAGTGAGGATGGAAAGCAGAGGATGGAAGGTGCTGCTGGGGGAAACAGCACACACAGCAGTGCCTGACACAACAGTGTGTACTACATGCCATCATTGCTGCCGATATTGTCAGCCTTACGGTTAAGTTCAGAAAAAATATGGAACCTGTATTTGCACAGATTAGTGTTTTAGGGATCAAGAGTCTTAAGGATTTAGGAACAAGTATGAATACATTAGGGTATGATTGGTTTTAAATTTTAAATAGTCTATCGTTTTGGAAACTGCATTCTGGCTAACAAAGGACAATGAAGAGAACGTGTCATGAAGCTGAGGCCAGCCGGGAGAGGCGGTACCTTCTGTGTGTTTGCTCTCTGCTGCTGTCCGGTGGGGTTTTCGTAGACCTGGAGGCTCCTCCACCACCTGTGATCACTTCTCCCACCTAAAATCAAAAATGCATACCAATATAACACATATCAGTATTGTATATGCTAGGCATATATCACACATAGAGATTCATCTATGTGACATACGTGTACATGGTCATATATGTACTGATAATGTACACCTATATAATATGCGATGACATTCATGTATCTACCACATACATGCATCTGTCATACACCTGTGTCTGTCATCTATGTGTATGCTATGCATATCATATCACTTTAACTGGATACACAATACAGAGATGCTTCTATCACACACTCTATCTCTTCACCATAGACTTGCAAAGCCACAAGCTCTGCAAAGACTGCCACACCCAAACCAAAGGGTTTGGTGAAGTACTTATTGAACAAGTGCCATCTGAGCACCAATGCATGGGAAGTGCTGCCATGGAGAGGGCTACGGACGCGATGAGGATGCTGCCATGTTGGGATCCGTAGGCCTGTGCTGTCACGGAGGAGGCCTGGACCCGCGGCCCTTGGATCCCATCCTCCTTGCTCAGGCATCTTCCTCTGTGAGCTGATGAAGGACTCAAGTAGTGGAGTGTCTATTCTTGGTCAGAAAACTTGGATCATTCTCCTTCTTTTATATTAAGTAAGTCCAATGCTGACTGATGCCATCCAACAAGCAAACTGTAAGCATTATTCAAATTCAGCCCATGAGCTCAGTAAGCATCAGAATGTGGAGGGAATAAAAGAATCTACTAGTTACTCCTCACTGGGCCCTAACTATGGGCTAGGCCTATACCTATCTACACCACATGTAGTATGTGTTTCATGAGCCACGCTTCATCACTTCCTCTGAGGCAGGGCTGCTCACGAGCACACAAAGAATTTTAGTTAAGATTGTTTAATTTTTATTAGCATATATTAATTATATCAAGGCTGAGGTGGTTATTGGAAAGCATTTTAGAAGAGAACCTATCTGTATTACAGAAACATATGAGTAGCCAGGAATATAGGCATGAGCCATCATTGTCTGGCCATATACACATATATAGATATGCATTTCTATATATGTGTATAAAAAATTAATATATTAGTTACTTTAAATGGGGCCGGCGTTATTTAAAATATCAGTTCACTGGGGAAAAATTGGGGTCTCAAGTACATGTTTTTATGTTGCTTCACATGGTAAACCTAACAAGAATGGGAGCAAGTGCAAAATTAGAGTCTTCAAACACCCCACTTCTAATGCTGTTATTTGTCACATAATAAGTGTAGACAAAGATTCTCTGTGTTTATGGAAATGCAAATAGAATTACAAATTTGGAGCTTTTCTTCACAAGGAATTTGCTGTGCTCCAGAATCTAAATGTGTTCCTTATTTTTAAGAGATATTTTCAGCACGTTTAATTTCAAAGATCCCTTTTAACTTTAAAAGTTACAGAGAACTAAGGAATTAACAGTGAGAAAAATGTGAACACTGACATTCACATTAACATGTAAATTCTTCTTACCACCAACGTTTATAAGAACCAAGGTAAAACTCTTTTGAAAAGACCTAATTTTCCTGAGCAGAGAATTGCAGGCTCTGAGCCGCAGGATTCCATTTCCCACTATCCTGCAGTCTCGGGCTGCTCGTCCCACAGGCAGCCATGCTCCGGAGCTTCTACATCATCTTACTCATTTCTTTAAGTGTGTTTAAAGATGACTGAAGGAAAAGTAGTGAAGGCCAAAATATGTTCAATAAATTAGATGTGGTACTGCTGGTTTCCCTAATCCGCAGGGAGAAATGCAATCAACTACTTGAAAATTCAATTATGGGACAAGAACAAAGGTGCGAATTCATATTTTAATGATGTTGCATTATTTTTCACTCTCAGAATCATACGATTGGAGGTTGGGAGTGAATGTGGAGGTAGTGAGAGGGTTCACTGATCTATGGAACTTGAAAGTACTTGTAAAGAAAACTGTTATTGTGACCCCAGTTAGAATGGCTATAATCAAGAACTCTAATAACAACAGATGCTGGAGGGGATGTGGACAGAAGGGAACCTTACTGCATTGTTGGTGGGAGTGTAAACTTGTTCAACCACTTTGGAAAGCAGTATGGAGGTTCCTCAAAAGACTCCACATAGATCTTCCCTATGACCCAGCAATCCCACTTTTGGGCATTTACCTAAATGATCACAAACAAGACCACACTAAAGCTACCAGCACGACTATGTTTATTGCAGCATTATTCACCATAGCTAAGATATGGAACCAGCCCAGATGCCCCTCAGTAGATGAATGGATCAAGAAAATGTGGTATATATACACAATGGAATTCTATGCCCCCATCAGAAAGAATGACATTGCCCCATTTGTTAGGAAATGGAAAGACTTGGAAAAATTATATTAAGTGGTAAGCCAGGCCCAAAGAAACATAGGTCCCATGGTTTCCTTTATTTGCAATAACTAGTATATGTCTGAGTCAAGCAGAAAAGGTCAGATAAGTTGATGTTCGGGAAATGAACCCTAAGATATGTATTCAAATGGTTTTTTTTCTTTCATGCGATTGTTTCTAACACATTTATAAGATTATTTCTTTGTTGCTTTGTATGTCCCTCCCCCACGGTATAACCCCTGCTTTCACTATATTTGATGTTGTTATAATTTGTGGAGGGGAAGGGAAAAAACAAATCATTTAAATAGGGATACAGGTGGACCCATTGCAACAATGAGTACAAGTTGTTATGTCGAAAACGAACTTTACAACTTTGATGGGGGGGGGGGGGGAGGAGGATGGGATGGGAAGGGGAAACAAAGTAGGAGGCTACAATGCTTGTTAAGAAATGTATTCATTATCTTGCCCATGTAATTGTAACCCCTCTGTACAGTATTTTCACAATAATTAAAAAAAAGAAAACTGTTTTTGTGAAGGTGATGTGCAGAGGGGTTTCAGTTACATAAGTCAGGTAATGAGTACATTTCTTTTTCAATAGTGTCACTCCTTTCCCTTGCTTTCTCCCAGTTTTTCTCTCTTATCCCCCTACAAATTTTATAGTTCATTTTCAACACAGTGTCTAGTATCACTGCTGCATTTGTTCACCCTTTGTACCACCATTACCCTCCCCCAACAGATAAACTTATATACAAGACAAAGGGTACAGAAATCAAGTACAGCAACAAAGCAGAAAAGAAAGAAAGCAAAAAAACAGAACGCAAAAATCCTCCTTTCCATTTCTTGCAGTTCATTTTGATAAATATCATTTTATATGATCATATGCACATAACTGGTGAGCCTTTTGTGATCTTCTTCTAAGAATACCCTCCTTTGGGCTCACTGTGTGAATATCTAAAATCCTGTACAATTTATCATGTCCATTTTTTTGTGTTTTTTTATCATCCACTGTGTTTACTTGTAGATTTATAGGCACATTCTAGAGAGAAATTATGCAACCTATGTTTCTTTGATTCTGGTTTACTTTGCTTAATATAATTTTTCTAAGTCTTTCCATTTCCTTACAAACGGTGCATTACCATTTTCTTGATCCACTCATCCACTGAGGGATATCTGAATGGATTCCTTATCTTAGCTATGGTAAACAATATTGCAGTGAATATGGTTGTGCTTGTAGATTTAGTGTGGCCTTGTTTATGTTCTACTGCATAAATGCCCAGGAGTGGAATTTCTGGGTCCTAGGGAAGCTCTATGTTTAGTCTTTTGAGGAACCTCCATACTGCTTTACAGAGAGGTTGAAAGTATTCTTTAAGGCTTCTCTAATAGCTGATTTGCCTACCTTTGGCCATTATCCTTGGCAAGCATCTCATTATCTCCTGATTAGTAACCTGCACTCAGATGATCTATATTTACTTTAATAAAATATACATGGTTGCTTTACCAACTTATTCATACTACGAAATGCAGACTCTGTGAGCTAAGTAGCAGATGCCAGGAAGAGGCTTAGCTTTTAATCCTTATTTTTTTTAGGAGAAACTGCCAATGTGGAACTATATTAGACATTGATTTCATATGGCTCATCTAAAGAGTTACTTGTAGGAATTTAAGAAAGACAGAATCATTTCATTCTAGGCGAGGACTTGTAACGTGTTAAGGAAAAGAATGAATGGGGAAGGGAAGTGAAATATAATCAATGATATTTACTGAGAAAGAAAATAAAAACACAATCAACTTTAACCTATTACCTGTAGAGCTAGCCCAGATTTTAAAGTGACAATATGATTAAAATCACAGTAAATTTCTCTTGGAGATTTCCCTTTCTCAGATATTTTCAATAATTACCTGCGTTAAATCTGTACAATGAGGCATTTATTGTGCATCTAATGTGTCAAGCAGGAGACTAAGTGCAAGATACAGAATGATAGATTAAAAACTATCCCTGATCATCTCATAAAGGAGAAAGGCATATAAATTATTAAATTCTTGGAAGGATGCATAATTGAGATTACAGGCCCAGAGTTCTAAGGACAAAGCCAGAGCTGCTAATGGGTAGGATGGACAGCAAGATCAAAGAAAACTTAGTGGAGAATATGGGATTTCCTAAGAATTTTAATAAACAAGTAAGGACTCCCCCAGAAGGTAGAGGTCATGAAGGGGTTGAGAAAATTTTAGGAAGAGAAAACAGCATGTCCCAAAATATGAGGGTAAATGAACACATCAGCCAACATGGAGTATTGGACAGCAGGTAATGGCCGAGGAACTAAGCAGCAAGCTATCATGTCAAGGGGATTTGTTTAAACATACTGGAAATTTTCATCTGAGGTCATGGGACTTCCTTAAGGCTTTCTTTCCCTGGAGACATATTTGCTAACCCTACATCTAATTTGAGATAGTAATAAGGGTATTAAGTCCAGTGGGGTCATAGCTCTCTGAAAATGTTCTTTGCTCATGAAGTAACACTATACTGATGTTCTTTATTTTATTATGGTCAAATTTCTGCTCGCACCCAACCCTTTATAAAGACACGAATGACTTACAGTCATGCTTGAGCAACTGACTACATGCTTATTATGGCGGCAAATAAAACAAAACGACGCAGAGATTTTAG